CACGCATGTGTTTAAACTGGGATAACCACACATTCCAAATTTATCAACTTATTACTGCAATTTATTCCAGAAATCTTATCTTTGACTCATTTCTATTTCTTACAATGGGGGATAAAAAAAACCCTGATACCAGACATAACCAAAGAAAAGCAATGAATTAAAAAGAAATCTGAATGTTAAAAAATATCTAGTTCTAAATCTATGCACACTGCAAATTCTTCCCACCCTCTATTCAAGATTCCTAAAATCTTCAATCTACAGTCTTCGGGCTGTATGATTCAGTTCAATGAAATTTTTCACAACATATCAAGGCATTCGGAGATCTACGACATTTGAAACCACAGTTATCTCTATATTACAAGCAACCAGTGGCAAACTACCAAATTATTATATATCCATGCTATTGTTCCTTCTGAGCACTCCTCCCATCAGGTGGGATCTCCATGTTAACACAATGCAGGAGACACGACATGTTTCAGCCTGGCTGGCTGTCAAAAATTCAAGATAAGAGCGCCTCATGTTTTTTTCTATTGTTTGGCTGTTAATAATCTATGACTTAAGATGAAAGTTCAGTTTTTTTAAACATGGAGTTTGCTGTGCAATATAACATATATTATGAATCAACATGCTGATTAACATTGGTTCTCTCTCTCACTCTCTCTCTCATACAAGCACACACACACAATATCCTTTCTCACACTCTCACGAACACAGACACACACTCTCTCCTTTTTGTGTCCCTTTCCTTCTCTCTCTCTCTCTCTCTCTCACACACACAAACACACACACACACACACACACACACACACACACACACACACAAACACACACACACTCTCTCTCTCTCCTTTCTTCTTTCTCTCACACTCTTTCTTTCTCCCTCCTTCCTTCTCTCCCTCAACACACACACAGTACCAGTACTAACCTGTGTTCACCTCTCTCTGCTCTACACTGGATACCACAACACACCAGAGTATCCAGAAATAAGCCAACTTCTCTATGCACTGCTTCTTTTAATATGTAATACAGAAGAGGTGAACACAAGGAGCCTCTTGAACAGAACTCCGGCACTCTTGGCTGATGTGTTCCCACTTGGTTTACTTTCAATTTGTGGATTTAATAGACCATAATCTGCCTTGAAATTAAGTGTCTTGGGGTTAAGGGGGGTAACTTGTACCAATCAAAAAACATAACTGAATCAGCACTTTGTTCACAGACCCTGTTGGGAGGGGCTCAAAATGGGGTTTTGGCAGTGAGTAATCCACATTTGAGCCTCAGGAGGATACAAAAGAGGGAACCTGGTCATCCACTCAGCAATAAATTAGGTACAAAAAACAAATTACCTTTGCTTAAGAAAATGTGGCTAAAAATATGATCATCTTATCCAGTTATTTTCTGTTGGCATGCTAGGCCCCCCCCTTTTTGGCTAATTTCCTCCCCCCTTTGGAACCCTTGTTTGTTAATTCACCTGGATTCCTTCCCATCTTTTTTTTTTTTTTTGTGAGTCTCCTATTTTTGACAACCTCATTTGTTTTCCTCAATTTAACCAGATAACCTTTTTTCAAAGTCATCTTTTCCTCTTCATTCTGACGACCTTCATTTATGCAACAAAATGCTTGCAACTGTAACTGAACGCCCTGAAGACATGTTACAGTGGGTATTGTGTTTCTCGTTGCCTATTTATTTACCTCTCTTTTTTTTTTTTTTTTTTTTTTTTTTTTTTGCAATTCAGTTCTGGCACCTTCTAATTTCAGAGTCAACATCATTCAATGTCTTCAGGAACTCTATTTGCATTCTGGACACCCAGGCTTCAAGAATTTCTCTTAAACTAGTTTATGTGTTCCAATGTGTTAAAACAGTTCATTCCATCCCCAACTGCATTAGAGAAAAGAGATTAGATAGCTCAAAGTGTAGATATAAGTCCACCACTTCTTAAATAAACCTTACTATAATGTGTTCAGTGTTTTATCTTTCCTTGAACTATTCTGTCCTTTTTTCCACTCTCTGTATCTCTCTTGTCACATTTCATTTGGTTTCCTCTATGTGGCTTTCTCACTCTAAACCAGAAACCTCAAACATGGAACTTTCTCTGTCTTTTTTTTTTTAACATTTATCTTACAGTTTATCAGCCTTGTTCACAGATTCATACGAGTTCAAAGAGGGATAAGATATGGGTTTACCACACCTGTCTCTGTAGTGTTTAATTAAGCAAACATTCAATTAATTACAAGTTATTTTGAGAGAACAACCACTCTGTGAACACCACTGTGCACCATGAAATTTTACCCAAGTATCTGCCAGAAAAGCTTTGTAAAACATATATGATATTCCCTCTCAGAGGATTAAGATTTATAATTAATATTTCCTCTGTTCATCTTTATAATCGATGCTTCTCTTTCCTGATCAAACATGTTAATGCCCCCCCAATACAAACACATGCACACACACACATACGCACACACGCACCTCTACACACACATACACAAACAAGCACATACACACACGAGCAGACAGAAACATGTGTGTGTGCATGTGTGTGTGTTTGTGTTGGGGGGGCATTTTACCCAAGTATCTGCCAGAAAATCTTTGTAAAACATATATGATTTTCCCTCTCAGTGGATTAAGATTTATAATTAATATTTCCTCTGTTCATCTTTATAATCGATGCTTCTCTTTCCTGATCAAACATGTTAATGCCCCCCCCCAATACAAACACACACACATGCGCACACACGCACCCCCCCACACACATAAGCACACACACACATGAGCAGACAGACATGCTCACGTGTGCATGTTCATGCAGCCACACTTGACCGATCAAACATGATAAAATTCAGGGCAAACGGCATGTTTCCAACACAGAATAAGAAATAAGCTGACGAGTTTCCTTCATGGTTCACTGCTAACCCAGAATGCAGAGAGCTCCCCACTGAGAAGGCAGACATGAAGTGGAATAGTAGGAATTGTGTTGGGTGAGATAAAGCACAATCTCAGCTCAACTGTGAAGACAATCATGAAAACATGGATTACCTATCCTGATTGTGACTGTTGAGGGCAATGTGGGCATCACATTTTCCCCAAATGTATAAAATCACTTGTAAAGAAAACCTGACGAGTAGGAAAAATAATGAGATCCAACTGTTAATGTGATTGATATCTTTTAATCCAAATGTGACACCTGTGTAGCTTGTGTAACCTTTCAAAAATGGCGTGTATGTGTGTGTGCATTCACATGAAGGGCATATATACAGATAGATTCCAATCAAGGATCAAAACAAAAATGAGTTTAACAAACCTCTCAACGTCTAGAGTGTGAAACTAATTCTCTTTATTCAATGTGAACCACAGATTTGTTAATTAAATAAGTATGAAACTCAGGATAAAAAAATAAAATAAAATAAATAAATAAATAAATAAATAAATCTGGTTTTTAAAACCCTTCTGTTATAAGGCCACACTGTAAAGTCTTAATATAAAGAGACCTAATTAATTTAAACAGTTTCAAAATTCAGGATGCAAAAAATAAATAAATAATTTTTTTTTTAAATCACCAGGTAATTGCAATGCACAGAGTCTGATCATAGACCATCTGTATTAACAGCCATGTCACGGACTGTCACAGCTGCAGCGGTCAAGGCTGGTCGTGACACTGTTCACAGCTGGTCATAAGGGTCATCAAGATGTCACGGACAGAGGAATCATCCAAGGACATCCTTTTATATTCCTCTGCTGTGAATTGGCTGTTTGTTCTACTTGACTGTGTATACTCATATAAAACCACGTCAGTTGAATTATTCAATGAATAGCATTATGTGGGCATTATGAAAAATGTCATCATTTTGTATAAAGGAAGGTTCACATTAATTTCATTGATTTTCGTCACTAGATCATCTGTGCATGTCCATCAAAACCTGTGCAGTGTTAATGCAATGTCCCAAAGCTATACAATTTCACAGGGAATGATATAACACAAATGTTCATGTGCTAATGTTGTGATGCATCCAACCTGGCCTGGAGGAAAAAAATAAATAATTTCCTAGAAAGTTCTCCAGTTAAAGGAAAACGTACCTGCATCATGCCGGGATATGACATGGGGCAGAATTGTAAAATGTGCTGTCACACATACAACATGTGGTAAATAACCAACACATTTGAACAGATCTGAATTATCTTCTTCTGAATTATCGTCTTAAATCAAAATTGTTGTATTTTGCTAGTTATTCTTCAATTGCTCTGAAAATGGCATGTTTTTATTGTTGAGTATGTTTTTTAAAGAAAATAAATATGTAAATTTCAAATCATTTAAAAATGAAAATGCAATAAAAATGTGGCGTTTGACATCTCTGCGTAATTATCATGTTCATAAAGGGAAAACTCGAACAAAAACTGGAACTAGAACACGAACATAGGCTGTACAACTACCAGTATAAGCATTTTAAATACCACATCAGTGTATACAATGAAAAAAAAGGACAGAAATCCTAAAAGACCGCATTTTCCAAACTGTCCTGATTACAAGTCTATTGCATGCATGATAAATATGATATCAGTTTTCCATGCACAGTAATAATGAGGCAATGAATATATTGAGCAGTATTCTGAAAGGGGAACCTGAGGAGTAGGAAAAATAATGAGATCCAACTGTTAATGTGATTGATATCTTTTAATCCAAATGTGACACCTGTGTAGCTTGTGTAACCTTTAAAAAATGGCGTGTATGTGTGTGTGCATTCACATGAAGGGCATATATACAGATATATTCCAATCAAGGCTCTGACACATTAGTATGATATGAAATATAAGCAAATGTTTCAACATACAGAAAAAAAAGTGAAACACAGAAAAAAACAAACAAATATCTGTAAAAACATCAATTTCAATTCCACATGTGAACAACCACCCTCCCAATCATACACATGAGCAAGACCATACACACTATACCAAGACAGAAATATCTAGAAAAAAAAAAAGATCAAAATAACTTTCTTCAAACTCACATCTCTATCATACTCGGCTCCATAAGTCTGGGCATTGTAGCTACCGTAGGCGGCTGGGTTGACGGGTGAGGAAAAGCGTGGACTGCCGCGGTACTGATACCCTGCAGGCTGCCATTGCTGGTAACCAGCGCCACCTGGTGGCACTCCTGCGGGAGACATGTTTCTCTTGGGATAGGGTTGTCTTGTTGGCTGAAAGTATATAAACATAAAATTATAATTTTGTTCAATGTGAATGTTTTAAAGCATGTTTGGGCATGAATTAATATGAGAAATAGATCGTAGGTAGCATAAGTAATGCCTAGTGGGAAGAAACTTATGACGACTAGATATGTGCTACAGGTTGTGTAAACGCATGTCCTAATCTGTCAGTGCACCCACACCAGTGTGTAAACCCCACCCCTCCCTCACACACACATATTGAGGATTGAAATAAAGATAAGAAGTAAATAGATTGAACAATACTGAAAATCCTTCGGCTTTGGTATTTTTTAGGGGTCAAGATGTGACAGCAATTAAGAAACTGAAAATTGGGACACAAATTACAGCACAACTTTACACAATGGACATCTTGTGAAAAAAAACACCCCATTTCCATAGATTTTTAGATCGATCTATCCCTGTGGGGAGTCTCATCAGATTACTGTCAGCTTGGCCGGCTTAAGCATCTTTCCTGCCTACTAAAAGCTGTAAGGGGGTAATTAACTATGGTGCCCGCTTGACTGACTGCAATTTAGCGTGAACCCCCAGGGAGTTAGGTTGATCTAAAACTTAATCTTTAAATCGATCTAAATCTCTGGGAAAGCACCCAAAATCTGGTTTTCATAAGGCACTCCTCAAGTACAGCATTGATAAATAAAGTGGCAAAAAATACTCGTTCTACATTTTGAAAAATAAATTTCTTTTTTTAATTTCCCTTTTCATTCATTGGGAAGACAACACTTTAACAAATGTATAGCACTTAACATGTTTAAGCTCTGATAAGAAACTCATTGATATTATGTCTACAGAAGCAATAAGGTATTCGGCTAAGTTTATTTTTTTTAAGCATTTACTATTAGACAAAACTATAATTCTGGCACCCCTTCTATCAAAATACATACTAAAGTAAGTGACTTGTAAGCCCATCTGGGTTAAAATTATGCTGGGGCAGCGCTAACACTTGCCAATTTAGCCAAATGCTAAAACTGGCTGACTTTGGCTAAACAAAATAGGGTTGATTTGACCAATTTTAGTCAAATTTAAACCATTTGGACAAAAAAGCGATGAAAAAGTAGTAATTTGGCTAAATGAAATAAATTGATTGCGCCACCCCAGTTATGGTTACTGTCAGAGTATACATTATCTCTGAACTACTTTTGAATATGTCACTTAAAAATATTTGAACTTGGAACTAAGCAACAAGCCTTTCATTAAACGCTCTCTCTCCCTCCATCTCATGCGTGCACAGACACACACACACACACACAAAGGGACACACAAAAGCACAAACACACACAAACACCATCCCTCCCTCTTTTGCTCTCTCTCTCTCTCTCTCTCTCTCTCTCTCTCTCTCTCTCTCTTACATACACACACACACAATGCTCTCTCTCTCTCTCTCACCTTTCTTTAATTGCTCTCTCTCCAGTATTATAAATATAATAAATCAAACACCACAATGATCCATCATCTTGCCACAATCTAAACCTCACATTAACAACATGTCATGACTAGCTGGAAAGGGGGCCTTGATGTCTTGCGGCGACATCTCAGCAACATCATGTTCATCTTACTCTGCTGTATCACTGTCTACTAACATACAACCACTCTCCCTGATATATAATGTATACAAGGTGCATATACTATATTATGTTATATATATCTACACGACTAACATGCGCATATTTTATTTTGACATGTGGCAGTGGTGATTTACTGTGTTTATTTTTTCTGGAAACAAATAATATTGTAGGGCTGGAGTTATGATAATGATTAAAATGCATACATCTTTTAGTTATCATGCCAAAACAGATTACACATAATGTAAAATCATGTGTACTCCAAAAACATAAACATGCAGTGGGCAACTTCAATTATTGGCCATACTTTACCTTACAAGTATGTTATCAATGAAATATATTTTTCACCAACTCAAGCTCCATAGCACCTGAATGTTGCCACACCATCTGAACCCATACCTCTAAAACTCAAACTTCCTCAAACAAACTCTCATAGACCAATATTTTAACCAAAAAATTCAGTCTCAACAAAAACCATAACCAGAAGACATCAAAAATCTCTCTCTCTCTCTCTCTCTCTCTCTCTCTTGTCTCTTGACACACAAGGGCACTGTCACGTCTAACGTACGGTACGGCACTAAAAAAAAAATCCTGTATGCAGACAAATGCAAAGGGGTTTGTAAGACTTACATCCTACACCGTACATAGAGTGTGCAGGTAAATGTTGGTGTAGGTTCCCATGCCAAGAGGGAGATAAAAGGTTCAGTGCATGTTCAAAAACAATACATTTCTTACGTCTTCATTTTATTATGCTGGAAACAGGGTGATTTTTTACACTCAATGTTGTGTAAAAAGTAATCTATGTCACATAGGATACTCACATGTACACCTTTGCGCCAGGTGTGGCAGAGCATTAAACTTCCTTGTTCATCAAACCAAGATTGACTTCATTCAAACTCATAAAAGATTAACCAAAAAGTACATTTTGTTTACCTTTTCCATTCCATACAGTGTATCGTTTACCTGACCTACATAACTACTGTATGACCTGTATGTCATATGACAGTCCTGGGGGGTCGGGGGTCACAAAGTCACTTTCACAGTTGCAGTGTTTTAGTCTGCTAGCAGGGATTTGAAATGGAGATAAAGTGAAGAGAAGAGAGATTATTTTCAGTATCTATTCTTTCAGATACAATTCCATAACTCTTACTTCACACAGATAGATAGATCAATGACCTCACTGGATGGATGGCTGGAAGGATAAATGAGTGAGCAGACGGACGGGCAAAAAATGGACAAACAGACAGACAGATAATTATTACTTATTTTTCCTATGCTACTGTCTCCGACAGTTCCAAGTATATAATGAGTACTGTTACCTGTAGCAAACCCAGCATGCACCACTAATGCTAGCTGTGCAGAACTTACTTAACACAAGTGCTTCAGAATACATAATGCTGAAAATGTCACACTCAGCCTCCCTGGCTAACACTCTGAGTTGTCATGAAATGACATTCCTGTCAACAGGTGAAATGAATAAATGAATACAGAGAAATCCCAGGTCCTGGTGTTTACTCATATCTCAGATAGAAACAATGCATTATCTGAGTGCAAGGGGGATTGCCTTTTCCGTCCAGATATGTTGCCTTGGTGGTGTTACGATTAGATCACCACTGGGAGGCGATCTAATCTATCTGCTGTCCCACTCAAAGTCAGTGAAATTCCACGAAAGCAGCATGGTGTTATCACCCCCCCCCCCCCCCCCCCTTTCATTGAGTAGTATACAGAAAAGCTGATGATTACTGGAGCACATGGGAAACAAGGGGAGGCAGATTAATCCGTTAAACTGATTGCATTCAGCGAAAGTCCTCCAAAATTGTTAAGTGTCAGTGGAAATGAGCCCTAAGAGGAAAAAATCTGGCTACCAGCCAGATAACATGTAGTACTTGAAACTGTCAAAATGGTTAACCTATTTTTTTTTTAAATGTTTGAAACTGTAACTGAAGTTTTAGTATGATATCATAGTTATAGAATGTTATCAGCAGTCACTTCAAAATGTACCTGTACCAAGTTAATTAATAAATATATAATATATATAACTAAAATAAACATGAGGTTTTGTATATCTTATCTTACCTTTCTCAGACTTACTCTACACATTCATATGTCAGACAAGTGAACAAAGACTATGCAAAGGTGACCCAAAATATGGGATAATTTCTATATCCGGGTCCAAGGATGTCAAAGTCCTACAGGTGACTTTGTTGACAGATAAGATAATGGGATGGATAACAAGGTTGTTTTTCCTCACGATAAAGAATAAGCATTATACTCATTCTCTAATGGTCACCATTTTAACCCCATTTTCCCTAAAATTATTAGGATTTATATGAGGACAAACGGCACCAGATTTTACATTGGTACATTTTTCCATGTTTCAACACATATCTTGACTGTATGTACATATATATGAATAAATGCAATCAAGCTAAATTATTATTCTGTGAAAGATTTTTCAATATATCCACATGTACAGTATAAATACACATGTTCATGTACACATATACAAATACACATGTTTGTGTGCACATATACAAATACACATGTTCATGTGCACATATACATGAAAAAACATGCCATTGTGGCATGTACATAAATCTTATAAACAACTTTAATCAAAACACACATATAGACACACCCAGTTAAAACACAAGCATACAGATGTACTCATGCAAACCCACAAATGCAGACACAGGGTTGGTACACATAGGCCCCATTTAAAATAGATGATCCGAGTACTAACTGATCTGCAGACTCAACATGGCCGACCACACTTCAAAAGAGATGCCGCTGATTCCTGACAGTCTCTCCGCCTCCACATGTATCATTAAACATATTAAAATTTGGCTCCCAGATTTAATTGCTAGGCCCCTGCAGTGACAGCGCCTGTGAAGGCAGGGACATCGTCGAGAATCAGTGGCATCCCTTTTGAAAAGCGGTCGGCCATATTTAGTCAGCGGAACATCTATTCTGAATGGGGCCATACAAACGCACATAAACATGTACAGACACGCACACATGCATAGACATAAAAGCACATAGCAACAATTACATCACAGGCAGTTTTAACAAAAGCACCTTAGAGTATAACAGACTAAACATCACTCAAATCCACCACATTGAAAGAAAACTGCATCACATCAATGGCAGTCCTGACAAATATCACATACAAGTTAGCATGCTAAAGCTGGTGTTTCCTAGAAAGCTTGGTAAATTATTCACAGGATCATAATTATTAACCACGATAAGCAAGTGTTTCTATGCTCTTTGAAATACTATCTACAAGCTTATGCCAGTTATGTAAATAAAATATTGATGCTATGTATAAAATGGATCATCACTTCATTGAGGCCATTCAGAATGAGAAGAGCAGAGTGCTAGCTAGGCCACGACCTGCAGGGGCACAGTAATTAAATCTCGGTTCAATTCACCTGGTCGAGTGATGACACTTGAAGAGCCGTGTGAGTGGCGGAGAGACCATTACAGGAATAACTGATCTTCCTTTCATGTAGGTCCGCCATATTTAGGTTGTGGCCTAGCTAGGTCTCGGCTCTTCTCATTCTGAATGGCCTCAATGTAGGCAAGCATGACTCTAGTTTATGAAGTTTTGATAGTAATTTGATAGCAGGCATCAATTAGTGGAATGTCCTTCTTATCAACTTGTATGATATTCTGTTGAAAAAAAATGGTGATCATGTGAACCAAAACTCTGTTCCTACTCCATAGTAGGATTAATAGTGTGAGATGCTGCTCCACTACAGTAATTATTCACAAAATTCAAACAAAAGTGACAAACTGTACATCCAAAAACCAATGCTGATAGCTAACAAAAAAGTTATCATCACATGAGATGTTGTTGTTAAAAATGTTTTTTTATGTGACCAACAGACAGATTCAAAACTAAAGTGTCTTTTTTTTTTTTTTTTTTGCAACTTACAGGCAGATTCAAAAGGTGTTTTTTCTTTTTTTTTTTTTTTTTTGCAACTAATAGACAGATTCAAACTCATTTTTTAGCGGAGTTGTTTGAACGCTGTGAATAATTACCATAACCTAAATCCACCGTCCTACCAGATAGGGTGTGAAGACATGAGGTACAACACTGTGATATCCTTGGCCGTCCATCTGGAGCATTCAAATGTTCTGACCAGCTGGTGATGGTCAAGACAGCAACAGTTCTCCTCTTAAACCAGTAGTTTTTAATACTTTTAACTTCACTTAGTCCAGTAAGTGACAAATGGACAGCGATACTAATACTGCTTCGGAAATAAAGCTCAAATCAGGCACTCTTCTTCATTCGTTTGAGCATAGCTCATGAAATAACTGTTAATCTCTTGTAAAAAAAAAATAAATAAAACAAAATAATATATTCTTTTTAAGCTGTCAAAAACAGTAGTGCTGGTTGAAAGGTTCACTTCAAACGGTCAAAGAAGCAGTATACTAGCATTCCTCTAATATTCCGATCAGTCCAGCAAGTTTAACCCAACAAAACAAGCAGAGGTCCGTAGCCAAAACTCCCCGATTTTAAAGTGATAAGACCGCACAGCAAACAGCGACCTCTCCTTACGCACTTGTCAACAATCAACATTGAGGACGTTTACCTGAAATATTTAGGAGAGTCGAGAGGGGTCTCGAGTGTCTTGCTATCTCCCTATTATATTATGCCCTCTCACAGACTGCTGTATGTGTGTTGGGAGGATTAGGACCACAGAAGTCAAAGATTAACCAGGTGCAAATGTGTCCCGTTTACACTGCTTCTTATGGTACAGTGCAAGTGAACCAGGTGTGTTTTAGACCAGATTGTGTGTCAATCGCAAGGAAGCAAATGGGTTGCATTGCTTCGTACAGAGAAGTAAGTTATAAATCAATCACAGAGCACAACAGATGACAAATTGCATGATTAATACAAAGACAATTAAGACAATTATTGAACTTTGATTGCATTATCGAGTATTGATTCTCATTCACACACATGCACACACATGTTCACACACACACACACACACACACACACACACACACACACAGCACAAAAGCAACCTGCTTTCCATGAAGACAAATATACAGACATGGATCACAATGGATTTTGGCCAGTGTAAACCAGACTACAACGTGCACAGATGTCAAGTAAGGGGCAGTGTACATTTGTTCTGATCACACCAGTTGAGGCAACTGTGAAGTCAATGCCATTAAATATGCACATTTTATATGCCAGGTCAGTGTATATGCATGATGGAGTATGCAGTCGTTGAATAATTTGTGATGTGTGCCAATGAAAGTGCAATTGCTTGCCATATGGTGTGTGTGTGTGTGTGTGTGTGTGTGTGTGTGTGTGTGCGTGTGCACATGTACTTTGTATATTTGAGCCTACAATTGTATAAACACCTACTGAAGTATGGAAAACCAAAAATGTAGTATCTATTCATCAAAAAAAAAAAATAAATAAATAAATAAAATGAAATAAAAAAGACGAAGAAGAACTTAAAGAAATGGTATTAAATTAGTACGATATGGAGCGCGTGTGTGTGTGTGTATTTTACGTATATGCAAGTTTGATTATAATTCTGGTGCAGCCATCTTTTCCCAAGATAAGGAGACCTCTGCCAATGAAAACATCTCTGGTCTCATTCACAATGGAACTAGCATTCTACACAGATCGATCCAACTCCCCGGGGACTCTCAGTACATGCCATCAGATAAATACTCCTCCTTTGGGTTTCCAAAGTAGTAGATCTTGTAAAATCACGCCAGTTTTTTTCGTATTCTACTCACTGCCAGGAGGCGATTTTATCTGATAACGATCAGTTTGAGTTCCCATGCAGCTGGATCAATCTACGTAAATGATATTTTTTTGGTAATGAGTCATATTCGTTAAAATGCCTGTTTTTATCACATGGAGCCATTGTTATGCAAATGGCATTAAAATAAACAGTAAGTGTGCAGCCTATGTTTGTTTGAGCTTCTGGTGCTTGAAGTAATTTTGCCCTCTGTGTCACTGAAAATACACGGACTCTGCACGTGTGTGAAGTTTGGCCTCAATAAAGTCTCCTACAAGAAACATTTTGATTTTGACAAAGTAATGAAATGTTTCAGCAAATCATCTTTTTTTGCCCTAAAAAAAAGAGGATGTCACATTTTAATGAGTACCACTTTCTTTAGCCATTTTGTAAAAAAAAAAAAAAAAAAATCATTTAATGAAAAATAACATGCTAGAATATGTACTTATCACATAACAGGCAGTTTCATGGAATTATCATCAATTAAGATAATTATTATTATTATTTTTATTATTATTCATTTAATTATTTATATTCATAAAGAATATATCTTACAAGTGGTTTAAACAATTTTGATTTACATGATCACTGGCTGGAGACATAATACAACATATAAATATATATCCATTATATACCTCAACTTATATTGACTCTGCAAATAAACAAAGGGCAAGGTACTGTTCTGTAAATATACATACTGGCATATGCTGTGCTGCACTTCTTCCATACGCATCACGATATGAGTGCAATAAAAAATTAATGAAATGCTTCTGAAGGCTTCTGTTTCCAACTAATCGGATAAATAAAGGGTTTTCTGTAAGCACTTTTCTGTCTTCAAGCCCCAATTTTCTGTCTTCAAGCCTCATAAGTTCTGTACAATGATTGAAGCAGAGTGCTCATTATCGTGACAAACCTTTAAAACCCAGATAAAACTATGTAAATGAAAACAGTTTGAACACTTTACATGTATGAGACATTTTAAATTTCCTTTAAGCTCGATTCCAAAGTTAACTTGAGAATGAGCATGATATTTCAATTCTTATAAATATTACAGCTTGCATGTTGCCATCAAACTGAGAATTTTCAATATTTGCATCCTGATGGCAGCTAGTCCTAATCATTATGTATGTGCCATGACAGATATGCTGGCATAATAACCTACCATTATGAATGTTTCCTGAGAATTATAGACTAGCAATTTGTGTAACCTTACTTTTGTAAGTGGTCGTATTGTTGAATATACATAGAACAGATGTAGACTAAATTCAACCTGCTTAAGCCAAAAGCTAAAAAATGGCAAAGTTAACCATCTCCTGCCTTTTTTTTTGCTTTTATTTATTTATTTTTTTCATTTTATTTATTTTTTGGGGGGAGGGGGGGACAGTCAAACTTAAACCAAAAAGGACTTTGACACTAACCACAGTATTCTCTATCAATCTGAACCAATCAAAAGCATTCACTGTCACTCTGTCACCACCTCTTGACCAGTGGTGACCAGCCACGCATTTTGCCAATGTATCCCAACCAATGAAACACACAAAAAAATTCACTGCTGTGCTTTCATCCTTCACCCAACAGATCTAACCCAATCAAAGAAATCCACGAATTTGAGGGCTCTCCAAACAAGACCGTGATACCTTACGACTGCCCCAAGTATTTCCCCTATGATTCTTAGACTCCGTTCACATGGGAAGTCTATTTTCTAAAAATCTATTTTCTATTTGCGGTATCTTGTAATCACGGTCCCTGTGCCCTGTATATCCCGAGAATTAATTACAGCTTGGAAGTAACTGGCTCGCGCCGCCAGTAATTACGCCACAGGATATTCAGGGCACAGGTACCGTGATTACAAGCTACCGCGAATAGAAAATAGATTTTTAGAAAATAAACTTGTCATGTGAACGGGGCCTTAATCAAAAATTGCACTCCAACATCCAACAACGCTTTCATGCAATGTTCCATTTTCTGTTCTCCCCATAACTCTGAACTAACCAAACCCATTCATATATTCACTGCTGTCCTATTACCTGCTCCCCTGGAGACCCACAAGGTCCCTGTGTGCTGCAGTGAACGGCTGCCTCTCAAACACAGCTCTGATGCCTAATAACTATACCAATAATCTGGCTATGATTCCTAACCAAAAATTATACTTCCTGATTCACCGTTCTGCTTTCAGTCATTGCCCCCTTTCAGTTTTCTGGCCACAACTCTGAACCAATCAAACCCATCCATTTATTCACTGCTGTCCTATTACCTGCTGCCCTGGAGGCCCACCAGGTCCCTGTGTGGCGTAGTGTTGCTGGTACTGCTGTGGTGGCTGCTGCTGCTGCTGCTGCTGCTGGATATAGCGCGGGGAGTTTGTCTTCTTATAGTTAGTATAGCTATTCATTGCTGCCCCACCACCTTGGTAGCCCTACAAGCACAACAAGCGATGATGAACACGATTATACTGTCATGGCAGATAAAGCAGCACTGTACTGATATTGTACACATTGCTAATTTTTCTATATTTGAATGAAGCATGAGTTGTGAGTGTACTTATTATTCAAGCCCAAAAGCTACACCTGTCCACTTAAGTTAATTTTGTTCTTTGAAAATTTTAACAATATCATACTTTTTAAAATGATAAATTGATTGCAGTTGAAAGCTTAGGATACGGCAACAAAGATAATGTGCTTTATTTCACATTTAGTTATCAAATTTAATAAGACAATAAGGAAAGACAATAGCAAAGATGAGCCATTACCAAAAGTGCAACAATTACAGCTTCTTACCACTGCTGCCTTTATTTATAAAATTCTTTCTCATTCGCTGTTAAAAAGCAAAAGCTACCTGGGCCAATTTTTCGATTTCCAAATATTCAAACACATCTAAATCAGTGGAGAATAAAATACCAGTAAGTAAAGCTTCATCTGCATAGCCATGGTCAAATTTATTTTCCATGGGCGCAAAAATCGTGTAATTCGGTAGTATTGCAGACTCTGCTATAGGGCCAATCACTAAGCGTCATGTTTGTACATTAGAATGGATCAGCATCTGTGTGTTGTCCTTTAAAGTACAGTAGCATTTTTTTCATGAAAGCGAGTCAAGGGCAACCAAGCTTGTTCAAACACATCTCTTGTCAATGCAAATATCCAATTTTCTATTCAGCAGACACATCGGGGAAGGTAAAGTAACCGCAGCAAGCTTCATTTATAACCCAGTCATGTTCTTCATGTTCACAGAGTTCTAACAGTGTTGACAGACAATTAACAAGACAATTTTGGGAAAAAAAGTATGGAACATGTATGTATAACATCAGATATTACCAAATACAGCCACACAAAAGGACACACAAACACCCACGTAAACAAAATTCACATCCCTTTTTAAGAGCGCTAATAATTTACTTGTATCTGTAAAGATAACAGAAAAAATAAGTTTTGTTTTCCTTTTTTTTTTGTCAACAGTGTTCTCAGCATGGGGCAAGCAGCCAACTGGTGTCTGGCTTGTCTGCCAAAGATTTCCATGTAAAGTCATACCAGATGCTTATACAAAAATGTCACTAATACCACTGCCTCACTGAGTCAAGATTTGAAAGAAAAAAATATACATAAATTTCTGTATTTCCCTCAGGCCTGCTGCCTGGTGTTGCAAGGTAAAATGCACTTGCAAGAGCATCTTCCATTGCAACTTGGCACTGGGACACAAATAAATGCCTAATCCACTATGATTGCTTTAATACAGAAAAAAATATCCATTTTATCTATTCTTATTTGTCACTGATAAAAAATTAAACTAAAATTTGTATTTCAAACAAAATTCTGAGAGGTACCCCCGCCCCCATCCCCCAGTATATAATGTTTATGTTTTGTCTCACTTTGCATGATGTTTATAAAAACACAAAGAAGCAAATTCATTCCCATTGGGCTTCTGCTTCAGTTGCTTTGCTGTTTATAAAACAGAACACTTTTAATAATTGATACTGATATGACTGAATGTTATCAAATCACAGTCATTTTCCAACAAAAGTTAAATGACAAGAGTGAAAGAGAGAAAGAGAGAGTGCTCCTTCACATCATTTTATCAACTAGAACATTTCATATTTCATTGGACCTACCTAGTCATTCGTGCCTTTCTGCACTTACCTGCTCATTCACACAATTCTGTACCATGTTTCATTGTACCTACTTGCTCATTCATGCCATTCTGTTTCATTTTTCATGTTTCTTTGCACCTACCTGCTTATTCATGTCTTTCTACTAAATGTTTCATTTCACCTACCTGTTCATTCATGCCATTCTGCTTCATGTTTATTTGCACCTACCTGTTCATTCATGCCATTCTGCTTCATGTTTCATTGCACCTACCTGTTCATTCATGCCATTCTGCTTCATGTTTCTTTGCACCTACCTGTTCATTCATGCTATTCTGCTTCATGTTTCATTGCACCTACCTGTTCATTCATGCCATTCTGCTTCATGTTTCTTTGCACCTACCTGTTCATTCATGCCATTCTACTTAATGTTTCATTGCACCTACCTGTTCATTCATGCCATTCTGCTACATGTTTCTTTGCACCTACCTGCTCATTCATGCCATTCTGCTTCATGTTATCCTGTCCAGTGTTCATGGTTGGAGGGGTGTGGTCCTGTTGTGTTTCTGTTACTTCCTGGGTTGATTGTTTAGGTTGGGTTACTGTAGTGTTTTCCTCCTTAGGGTCCTGAAGAATAAAATGTATTTCAATACCGTAACAACCTTTGTATTACATTTGGCAATTATCACTAACAAGAAAGAATACACTCTACATAAAATCAGGCTTGAAAATTGATCAGTTGAAGAAACAGAGATTGGAGGGGGAGGGGGCAAACATAAAACATAATATAATACCATCCTACGACTATTATCATTTAAACCCCATACACTTACGAGTGCAGAGTTCCTATTACAACAAGTTCTGGTGCCCAACAAACTGCAATCCTGCATAAAATATATGCGTTACCAAGCATAAGGACCAGGATAACTCTCAGAGCTTTATGTTTGAATGGCATTTAGCATTGCTTGCACAGACAACATCAGATAGGAAATGTCTTCCACTATTATTTTAAAACATTGTTAGTGAGTCAAGGTGTAAAAACAATTCTTAATCATGACTGAATACAAGGGCTATATACTTACTAGTATAGCCAAGGCTATAATATGCAAGAGAAAATGAAATCTGTGCATGTGTGTGTGTGTGTGTGTGTGTGTGTGTGTGGGGGGGGGGGGGGGGGGTTCAAATGTGTGTAATGTACTTTATATCTACAAATCTGCCAATTCAAGCTTGTTGAAGACATGAAAATTTAAAACAAAAAAAAAGCCCTCCCCTTCTCACACCACACTCCTACTTCTTTACCTCACCCCTTTTTGACAGACTGTTTGCTGCCGCCCTATCTTAAAACAATCTATTTATTTAGGAAGAACTAAAACTTAATATAGGTGATGGGCCATTTCTTATATATATGATTACTGAATGGATACAATTAAGTTATCACAGTACAATCTAGACTTGGAGAATATTATTTTTAAAACACACTGGTGTGCCTTGTGCTGTAACTTATATCTACGGAGCAGCGGCAACCAAAAATAAGTATAAACTGTAAATTAATATAAAATGTTTCCAACACATAAAAAATTACAACTGGAAACAAGTAAGAAAACTTATAATATCCCATAACCAGGCAAGTCTGTTTACTGTGCACGGGAAAGGGGGGAGGGGCAGTCACGCCAGTTAAACTGAATACCCCAGTGTACTATTGGATATATTTCTGGTACTCAGACCCCAGTGCAAGATACAGCAAAGACTGATCAAAGCTGGGATCATCCTTTACATTACCATGCCGGTGTGACAGGAGTGGTAGTCCCAGGAATGGAAGTCCAGGGTCCCATAAGATTAGTACAGGTCAGGTTTATTCAGAGTATTTGGGTTGGTTTATGGGACATATGTTACCTGTACAAAGTTATGGGGGAATGGACTAGGGTTCCTAGTGGACTACCATTCCTGTCACACCGGCATTAGGGAACTATATGACACTGGTCAACCTCTAACCTGTTGAACGCTAATTCGAGGTCAGTAATACTATAGCAACTTTAATCTCATTACTTATTTACAAGGTGAGCTCAAATCCCTGCGTCTTACGATCAACAAACACAACAATACAGTTGTACTTGACATGTCTTAGAGCTAAACACTGTCCCAACAAACGAGAAAATGGAATATTTCACCCTCAACTGAAGTCTTATCGGGCCGATTCGGACGTCAAGCAGCCATCTTGAATAATACTCTACTCTGTCAGCTGATCGATAAAAGTTCCGGGGTTTTTGTAAAATGCCACAGAGATTGATGCACATTTCACAACATCCAGGCGTCAATAAATCACTCATACTAACTCACACCGTGATGTGCTTTACAATATTACCTGCATAAGGCCGTCTTGAAGCTAATCGCGAGATTTGTACAGCAGCGAGGAAAACGGAAGCCGATTAATTTTTGCAACGTTTCGTTGAGTCCCACTAGCGTTCAGTTCACTTTTCTCTCACGTTTCCAGGAATCTGTTCTTGAGCGGGCACGGGCCACAATTAACCGCCTAATAAGTTACGATAGTATCACACACACACGTATAATAATGACATATATGCAAATTGGCTACACTAAATATGTTAGATATATGGTACGGCTACTAATCTAGGTCAAGGAAGTTTTACGCCCCCGAAATTAGGACAGCAGGGGGTAAATAGGTCACCAATTTACCAGCAAGGTGCCCGCTGTTATTATCCTTTTCTCAGTTCTTCCTACCACACATGTTTTTCTGAACTCTTGGGTTGCTGTATTGCGGACCTATCCCAGGGAAGTCTGTTCACTGTACCCAATAACTCAAAGTGGTTTGTGTCAATATTTACACATGTGACCTATTTTGTTTGCGCATTGATATTGATATGAAACGACCTTTACCTTCGCGGTGGCCCAGGAAGTTTCTTCTGGTAATTAGATGTGACGGAAGTAAATTCCCTAAAACTTTGTCCTTTTGACGATGTGTTTTTGTAATGGTTTTAACATTAATTATTGCAGTATTTTATTGCGACGATTCACTTTGCGATAATTAAGTTTCCGTGAAAATATTGCTGCATTGCGTTAGATAGGAAAACCTGGGAAGACACGTTTTGCGGGCTTCAGGCAAACCAAAATAGGAATAAGTTAATTTAAAACATTCACGTGTAAATAAAATAAGACCACGAAAAGGACGCCCACATGTCATGTGGCTTGAATTATGTCTAAGAAGACGAGCCTCAAATAGGTACTTAAAAACAATGCCTAGGCGAAAATAACATTTTTTTCGGGTTATTATTATTATTATTAGGCCCTATTATTATTATTATTATTTTTGTTACTGAACGTATATCAGGTATATATCCCAGCGCCAGTTTTGTCATCACTTTTTTTATAACTTAGATGATTGGCAAAATTCAAATTTTCTTTGCCTCTTTATTTATTTATTTTATGTATTTATTTATTTTTTATGGTGCACTTGAGGACTAAGAGCAGAGCTTATTTACAATTATAGACACTCCTTTACGAAAAACCAAGTCTTATAGGATCCTAAAGGACTTTTTCGTTACGGCTCGTACGGAATTATAGGGCAAACTATGCATGAAATGAAGTAATTATTAGCCGATTTATAGAACTTTAAATAACGAATTTTAATTGTAGGGCTACCGATATAAATAAAGGTTTTAGTCGTTCTTAACCCTATGTACGAAGGGTTTTTATTTCTAAAACACGAGAGATTAATTCAATATTTTATCTTTTTTTATTGTAATTTAAAGAAATCAAAATAAATCTTTGGACACGTTGTTTTTTTTTTTTTTTTTTTCTTTTTTTTTTTTTTTCTTTTTTAATTTATAGCTCAGCAACGGATTATGCTGTATTCTATTCTATGCTTACAGAAAATTATGTTCACTGGACCGGTAGATCTTTAATAAGGTTTTATAAAGATACCACCTGTATATATAAAAAATATAATAAAAGAAATGAAGTTTCACTGTCATGTCATGAAGAAGTGGAACTTTAACATGTACATATATAAGTTACAGATTTTCCGAAATATAGGTCCAAAGATTTCTTTTGATTTCTTAAAAATAAAAAGGAAAACAATGATAAAATATTATATTAACGTCTGTTTTAGAAATAAATTAAAGCCCTTTCTACAAAAAGTAAAGAAAAACTAAAACTTGTAGGCCTATATACAGTATGCCAGTGTAACAGGAATGGTAGACCGCTAGGAATCGCAGTCCGTTCCCCATTATTTAATTTGTACAGGTGACATTCGTCCCATGTATTTGTACTTACTCCAACTAACCCTAACCTGTACTTATTTATGGGAGTCCGGACTTCTTTTCCTAGGACTACCATTCCTGTCACACCGGTTGTACACGTTGAACGGAAACCGTAGGCGCCACGCAGAGAGAGGCTGACAACTTAGGCCCCATTCAGAATAGAGGACTAACTAGTCCGAGGGTCAAATATGGCGACCCACTACAAAGCTTGTCTTCTAAGCCGCTAAAAGACACTGAATAGATATACCGTGGGGAAGTATTCAAGTGAGTCGGCCATATTTGACCCTTGGACTAGTTAGTCCTTTATTCTGAATGGGGCCTTAGCCGACAACCGTGTCCTTATCAAGATGTCGACTGCTGTGGCGGTGATCAAAACAAACGAAGGTTTCACGTCCTGGCACTGACACCATGACGGTCCACCCTAGTGGCCAATTAACCGGATTTAAAGTCGAGTAAATTTTACCAGCGTCTAGTTAAGCGTTTTCCAGCTAAGACCCAGGATCATGGGGTATTCACTTAAACAAGATGGAGTTTGACGTGGAAGGCGGATGAATGAAAATCGTTCTCTTCGGTCTATGGATGCCCATGATGTGAAAATGCCTTTCACTGAATCGTCATCGTCAGTGATTTTCATCGAAAAGTGCAACAGAGAAGTTCATTTTATATTTTACCCAAAGTTCATGCACAATATTCCGTCTCGCACATTTCAGTGACAACGGAGCGCACCGTCAATATTATAAAGGCATAGATTCAGTTGGATAAGAAAATGGTGTTCGTGATTAAAATTCACGAGGGATACTGGACAGAAAACATAAAAAATGTGTCGAATATTAAGTGTCTATAGGATATAAGGTTTGAAACTACCCGCACTTTTCTTGGATTGCAAGCTGGAATTTGGTCATCAAAGGGACGAGCATACGTTATTTAAAAGGGGAAAAAAGCACAGCGCAATAATATGGATAACCTTTTCATTGTACTACAACTTTTTTCTTCACTCGAGTTTGCCGAGCTGAAAAAAAAACTTTAGGATATTTTCATCAACATTTCATCTGCTAATTTATCATCTTATGTTTCTTCCTTTTTTCTTTCTTTCTTTATATAGACAAGTGCATTTGGCCGAATAACGGTTGCGACAAGAAAAAGAGTCGCGCACATACAGTTTTATGAAAGATGTTTTGGAATTATGAAAAGAAAAAATAAAAGAAAAAAATAACGGTGAAATTAGCGCAACTATTAGAAGACATATTCTGAAACTTGAAGTAAAAGTTACTTCTCGTCTCTGAACAATGATTTTGACAAACGACGTTTCTCTAAACTGGCACCACCAAAGGATGAGTTCGTACGTTTTTGAAAAACGAGAAGCAGGTGTACATTCTAACTGCCGCACCCTCGTCTAGTTGTTTAAAATAAACAAAAGTTTGAAGTCGAAGTGAGCGGTGCAACCAAAATATGCACGCGCTCCTCGTTTGGCAAGTATTTTTCTTTCACGTTGCTTTACCCTACTAAACGCGGAAACGGAATTTTTTGAGACAAATATTAGGATTTTTAAACAAAATCATTGGTAAATTCGAGCCGGCAGAAATTTCTCATTGGATATTACCAATGTATAAATGATCCAGAAAACAAGCAAGCTTTTTTATTTCAAATTCTCATCTCCTACAGATTAGAAAATGTGATCTCAACATTCACAACTGGTACTGTTACCACGTCGGTATGGTTTCCAAGGCGACAGAGAAAAGAAGGAATCGTGGATCACCTCTCCAAAAGTAAAGCAGAGACGACTAAAACAGACTGGGATTATTAAAAGAAATTTTTTAATTTTTCATGTTTTGAACTTATTCTTTCTGCGCACTATTTGTTTGCAGGTCTTATTAATATGTAATATGTGACAAGAAACGAATCACTACCGGAACGTTTTGGTTTATTTACATCGCATTTTCAAGTGGAAAGTTTTTAAGGTGCAACTGAAGTCAAAATTTTGCCACAAACGCCGACCAAATACCAGCTTGTAGTTTCCAATAGTAAAGCTTAGGGAATTACCAAAAGACATCTTTTAATGTTACCCGAAAAATTATATTTGAACGGATTTTCTGCTGGTTTTCTATGCTGCATGTATATATGTGGCAGCTAAGTAGGTCAGGTAAGTTAGTTAGACTTACGACCAAACTTTTGAAGGAAAGAACAGTTTAAATCTCTTTTGTGGTTGATCGAGTGACTTATTTTGTTTAAACCCTGGGAAAAGGCATCAGTTTTACGCCACAAAATGGCAAAATAAAACGTACTTTGAACTAGAATTTATCCTTATAATCTTGTTTTGTTTTGTTTTGTTTTTGCACATCATAAAGGCTCAAAGGAAAAGTTCGAGGACCCAAACGGAAAAATTAATAAATTAAATGGACTGTAGGGTATTTTGTTTTCTTACACAAATACGTCAACAAATGGACAAAATCGACATTTTTTTTAAACAGGTGCTACCGGTGCCATCTCCGCCCATCTTCTGTTTATTATTTTTATTTATTTATTTTTTCATGCAGGTATGTGAACTTCATACCAGACAACTTACTATCATTTTCTTCCATGTTGCAGTGAGCATGCATTTTTTTCTTTTTGGCTTTCAAAATCAGTTCAGCTTCCTTAATCACCAATATACATCTTTATGCAATTTACACCCCAGCAAAGAACAGGATTAGAAAGCGGCATTCTCGTTTAACGTTTATTATTATTTATTTTAATTTATTTTATTTTTTTTTTTTTGGGGGGGGGGGGCGAGTCTTAAATACAGTTTACCACAATGATACACCTATACTGAACGAATCCAGGGGATGTGCATGTATGTTACCCAATAAGCACCCAATAGGCCCTATGTCTAATCTTACTGCGTCATCTTGAAGTGGATTAATATTCTGTTAGCTTGACACTTCGTTTTACTCCTGTAAATCCATCAACGTAATTGCTCTCGTAAGAGAGCTTGCTCTACGCTTGAAACTAGGCAATTCACTCTGCTCCATTTCATCTCTTTACTTAATTATTCATTTATTTAATTACGCTTATCCATTCATTCATGCTTTCTTTCTTTCTCTCTTTCTTTCTTTCTTTCTTTTTAAGCTTACGTGTTTATTCATTTTGAGATTAATGAGATCAAAGGCTAGGGCAGGAATCTTGCTTACTCATTTCCGATGACAGTTCCATACGAAGCAGCGCTTCGTTAAAAAACAAGACACCTTACCTGACGTCTTGAGAATGACTGCCATCTGGGGAGTATATACATACATCATTGTAAAAAAAAAAAACTTGTACCAGACATGAAGCCAAGTCTAATCTCTCACCATGCCGATAGATGGCAGAACCATCGCAGCGGTAAAAAGGAATTA